CTGAGCGCGAGGGAAACAGAAGTAAGGTGATCAGTCCGTCGTTGCCGTTGCCGTTGCCGTGTGCAAGCCAAATTAAAGTCCTCGTCAAATGGAAGAGGATGTGCGCTCGAGGGAAGACACAAACCGAGGGAGTCCCTCTCTCTCTCTCTCTCTCTCTCCTCTCCTCTCCACGGCTCATTCTCATCCTTGAAGGGGTTCCGCGCTCGAGTGCGTGCGTGCGTACGCTCGCCATTCGCGCCGGCTCCTCTCTCGTACGTTGGTTGTCGGTGAATGAAACAAAGGCTCGTACACACCGAAAGGATAAGCGAGTCGACGACGTAATGACAGCCGGCGATGTGCAAAGCGCTGTTACTCTGCTGAAGGCAGAATGGGTCCCGCCACATTGTGCCCTACTTTCCTTCCTTGATGCAATTTTTCCCTTTCGCGAGAAGCACCTTATTCAATTTTAATAGCGCCATTGTCCGTTAGCAGGTAAATCATGTGACACTATTATTCTCTTGTATAATTATTTTCATTACATTCCGTCGTGTTGCTCTCTCCCCCTTGGCTTCGAAATTAATACCTACACACTCTATTCAGCCCTTTGTTGCATAATTCCGTATTATCCATATCTATTAAAAAAAATTTACATTTACTGGAAGCTATAATACGTATCATAAAATTATTCTCGTCATCGTTAATTGCAACTTTTTCTGCCGCATTAAAGTCTTCCGTACCTTAGAATTTGGCGCAGTTACACGTCACATCTGCAAAGTCAATAATCAATAATTCATGGGGACAAATGTTTGTATAAATATTTATGATATGTTATGACGCGTCGTCGTTTGATCTGCTTGGCAGATATTATACATGTAAAATGCTCCGCGCGACGACGCACATCCCGCCGTCACTCGTCAGAGTGCACTCACGGCGCGTGCACGCATGCACGCATCCCACAATGTGCGTGTGTACGTGTAACGTAATAACGCGTAATGATTCACGAAGGAGGATAATTGCCGAACGCGATGATCGGCGATGATAAGCGTGCTCGGTGTCGCGCGTCATTCTGATAATAAAGTAGGCGCCCGATGTATTCACCCTCCACCTTTTATGCGCGATACACCGTACTAATTTCCATATTACGTTAAAGTGCGTTATTAAATATATTACGCACGCGTTACCATTACGTTGCAAGAGTTGCAACGTAAGTCAGGCAACGCTCTAGCGATATCTGATTTTTGTCAATTCATCAATTATCGTTAAGCGCGGTGTCTCTTCGTGTCTCTGAAAAGCTTCTTGAAAAACATTAAGAATTCACGAATCATCGCTCGATTATATTCTCCGAAATCATTGGAGTTTCGTAGAACCAGATTCATTATCTTTGGCACAATCGATGATAATCTATATTCACGTTCGCAGTGTTGGGATTTCCGTTCCCTTATTAGTGTGCATTATAAATCGATACTCGGCCTCCAATGACATCGGATCGAGATGAAAAAAAAAAAAAAAAAAACGAGAAAGGTACAGGATGAAGGGTAAATAGATGATACCGAAGCATACCGTGGGTTATGGGAAAGCAGGTGGCAGCTAGATGACGCTTTCACTTTTTCTTTTTTACCTTTGGGAATCGCCCTTGGGAATCCAAATGACCCAAATGTACTTCACAATCGGTGCACAACCTTCACATAGGGGTGAAATTATATACATTTTTTAATTATATACGACATTTGGTAGGGCGACGTATCATTTATAGAATCAATTTCGCACGTAATTTTATAGATATTTGTACCATTAACCGACCTACCGATAGCTCGCCGTCGCGTGATTATCGTTACCTATATATAATAAGGTCGTGGCATAATTTTTTTTCAATAATAATACAATTTGCGCAATTTTTATCATAAAATATGAGTCATGCAAGTGCAAGGACAATTGTGGCACTTAACTAATGGCTCAACTTACAAATAATTTGTATATAATTATCACCAAGGTATTTCTACTCAACAACCCAACATTATTCAGTCTACAGTATCAAATGTACAGTACTAACTCGTTATACGTTAATACGCCTGAGTCTCTTCGCCAAGAATATCCAGGTAAGTTCCAATCCATTAATTATCGTTAAGCGCTTTTCTTGCCTCTAAAGAACTTCTCCAGAAACAATAAGAATTCGCGATTCATCGGATTAAATATTCGTATCCGTTGGAACTTCGTAGAACTAGATCCATTATCTACGACGATCGATTATAAAATCTGTATTCGCGATCGCGGCCTTGAGATTTCCATTCTCTGATATTAATATGTATATTATACCACGTAGTTAATTCGCAAAAATCACCGTTCCAGATTGTGACAAATTCGTGGCAAATTCTTCGAAAGCGAAGCGAGTCAGAATATTTTAAGGAAAATATTCTAAACCGCTTTGTCTTCTAAAGCAGTTGTTAAATCAATTGTTTTCTACTTTGTGTAGAAAAATGAATTTCGTGGCGTTCGGACTTATCTTAATCTGTTGCCATGTTTGCGCGAATAAAAACAACAATAATTGTAAGTAGATACATATATTTTTTTCTCCTCTTAAGGAGATCTTTTCTCCTTAAAGATTTTACGACAATAGTGGATTGAAATTCATATTTAGTAAAACACAAAGAAAATAATCTCTAAATTTAAAGTAACACACAAAGTATATTTATTTGCACATTGTTACATTGTTAGCCTACTGTTGTAACAAAGTCTTCAAATGATATCAAATTCTATTTCTGTCTATTTTTAAATCATCTACATACTTTTAAGCCGTCTATTTTTCAACATTCTATTTTTCAGTCTGTTTTTGACGGTACCTCTTTCGAGGAGAAATTTAATAGACATTTTAGACATTATACACATATTTGAATAAATCTATTTATAATAGTTAATTTTTATATACAATTTTTTTGCAGTGTATTCCGCATTTATGTCACTTTCCGCACATAAATCTTTCTGTATCTCATTAATTTTTAAAAATTTTTAAGATCTTTTTTTAATAATACAATAATATTTTATCCAAAAAATATTATTAACATCATTATTATTCAATGTTAAATATCAACATCGTTCAAACTCCTTATATAGGTATGTTAAGCTCTAGTTATATATGACATATATGTTTAGTTTTAGCTAGAGGGACCTACGAGCAAAGAACACCGTTAAAAGATTTCCTCGAAAATAAAGTAAAGCGCATCATGCAAAATGGAGATAGTACGTTTGGAATTCCGGTTCTTGATCCGTTTATTGCGGATAAACTGTCAGTTCAATTTTTAAAGAAACACATTGTCAACACGTTAAATTAATAATATACTCATCCTTGGACCAACAAAAGATATTATCACGATTATAAAGCTTTTAATCAATATCTTTTACGTTGTTATAAATTATTGTCGTTTTATTGATACAGTAGATTATATACACTGTCTTAAAGAGAAAAATAGTTTAAAAGTACAGCTTTTGGCCAAACAAAATGTTTTAATTTAACGTGTATCGCGTATAGCATGAGTAGTCAACGAATTATAAACGATAGTTCATTATTAGATATCATATAAAGAACAATATATAAACACCTTCATGTCTTCAGCTTTGGGTTTTTGTCAAACGTCAATGTAACTGGCTTGTCCGCGTATGAAGTTAACGACGCTGACTTCAGTATATTTACTCTGAAGTTCAACCTCGACCTAAACTGGCCATTGATAACCGCAAGAGCCAATTATTCTATCAAAAACAACAAAAACGCCAAAATTAATGGAAAGGGAGGAATAGAGTAAGTATTTGATTCATTTGAGAGAACTTAATTATCATATTTCGATGAATTCGTGATTTTCTAATGCCTACGCGAAAAAGGATCTTGCTGCCAATTTTTGCGTTTTATTTATTTGTCAGTAGAAGACAAAAAGAAATCTATGCTTCAGCGGAAGTATATCAGTGTTTCAATCATTATAATTTTATATGTAATTATTATAATAATATACAATATTGTAATTATCATTTATATATGTAGATACAGTAGATTCCCGTTTATGTGTACTCCATTTATACGAACAGATTTGTATTCAATATTAACTTATACCTTCTAAATGAACTCAAGCTACGTAATAACAGGAGCTTGACTATAGTTTTTCCTGAACGTCAGTTCTTATTATCAAAACTAATACATTGATAAAAGAGAAGGTTAGTGAGCCTCTATTATCCGAAGTTCATTTAGAAAGAACAGACCTAATGAATTAGCTGATTTTTATTTAATGCTTTCATGACTTTATCTGGCGATGCCAACTGCGACGAGATTCATTAAAACGTGACTGAATTATATGTTTCATACGAAACGTGCCAATTCGGTTCAGAATTTCCCTAATAATAAGAATTATACTTCTCTCGTGCGCGTCCACCATTAATAGGGAACGAGCGTGTGAGATAGAGTGAGAAAGCAGCAAGTTATTTTACTTACACTGAGAATAAATGCATTAAATTTTAATAAAAACTTTATTTCTGATTTATTATATATTCGTGTAAATAGTCTCAAAAGATATTGTATTTAATATTGTTAATAAAATTTATTTGAATAGTTCCAGTTAAATATGTACTAAATGTAAACATATATTTGTTTGATACAAGAACTATTAATTTGATTTAACTATTATATTTTTTATTTAACAAATATTTATTATCCATAAATGAATGTTATATTAGTACTATTCTCTCTCTCTCTCAAATAATTATTTATTAAAATTTAGTACATTTTTCTCAATTTATTTTTTCTCTTCTTCTCATGTTTTTTTCTTATTATATATGGCGGATTCATCATAAATCGATACGCTATGTCCTAACTTTTATTTGAGAAACTATATAGTGTTTAGTTTTCTTACGATAATCAGGTTCACCCAGTCAATTATCAGTCAATTTATGATTGCTTTGAATTTAGAAGATAAAATTTTCTTCTGAATTTAAGAAAATTTTAAATTTTAAGAAAATTTATTATTCTGTTATTAATGGAATAATTTATATTTAAACAAATCTTTTTAACAAGTACAAGATCCAGAAAGAAGATTTTTAATGGTGATTATGTTTAAATTTTTAAATAATTATTTTATTATCACTTATACTACTTTATAATTAAGTGTAAAATTACAAATGGACATATTCTATCGATAATTTTTTTAAATAAAAATTTAATTAAAGAGATCGTAAGAGAAAATTTGAAATTAAAAAAAGATATATTTAATTTTCAGTGTAGCCGTGCAAGACTTCAAATTTAAAATTGTCATTAATTTTAAAATAGAAAACGGACATATCCAAATTAATGAAATCAAACCAATGAATATTGCCTTGGGAGCATTTGACGTAAGTAAATATTAAGTTACCATATTGTCAATTCTTTTCTGCCTTTTTGTAATCGTGATTGTCAAGAATCGCGCCCAGCGATTAAGCCGTAGCAAAAATAATATTGTATATAAAATAAATGACTTTACGTTAATAATCTTTAAATAACTTCTGACCGAAAACAAAATATACATAAATAAAAAATTTCTTTTGATGGTTTTCATATATCTCTCAAAACGAAAGAATTCTTATATGAACTTGTACTACCTATAAATGTTTTCTAGAAAATCACACATGTTTAATTTTGAAAAATCGTGAAAAGTAGTTTAATAAATTCGTAATATGTTGATTAGTAATATATTATTTAATATACCAATTTCTAGATTGCATTAGTTGTTATCCGAGGAAATTGCTATTAATTATACTATCACGTCGTTTTTTACCCTTCAATTTGCACATAAAATTCAGTCATAGACTTGTAAAGATATGAATCTTTGGCAAACAACTTATGGAAAAAACTAAAAAAATCTACAACTTATTTAACTAAAAAAATTATTATTGAATTTCCATAAACTTTTAAGATTAATAAGTATATATTTATATAGCAAACAAAATATATTTAAATATTATTTAAATATATTTAAATAATATAAACGGTAAAAAGATTATGAAATTGAAAAAAGAAATAAGTTGATTATGACTGAAAAGTCGATTAGTTTAATCATTTCGATAAAAACTGATTTAAATTCTCCACGTTTTGATAAATTTGTTTTAATTGGAAAAATAACAAATTTGCAACTAAAATCAGAGTTCAATATTTTACATGCAATAACTTCATGAAAGCCATATCGTTATTTAAGTCTCTCATTTCTTGATCAGTTTGAATGTAACCGTATATATGGAATGTAACTGTAATTACATTTTATAATTTTCATTTTTCTCAACTTTCAACAAAATTTTCTTTCCTGTCGTTCATAGTTTCACGTGCTGGATCTCTACAAAGATGACAAAAAGAATGCTGAATTAAGTAAGATGATCTCTGATATGGTACTTAAGCTGATCAATGAAAACCAAAACGTGATTACGAACACTAGTATTAATATCATCACAGCGATTTTCAACAAATTGATGTCTAAAGTAAATCTGGGCAATCTAATTAAACCTAAGTTAATTTAATTAGTTAGCTTAATGAAGTTAATTTAAAGATATTTACTACTACAAAATTATCTTTTTGTCATATCGATGCTATTGTATGATTAATCTGTTTGATAATCTTTGTTTTATCACTTCTGCAATCATGATAGATTCCAGTCGAAACAATGCAAGGTATGATAATGCAATTAAAAAGTGTTTGTCGATAACATTGGCAAGAATAAAAAATTCTTAACAAAGTTCGTAATTTATTTCTGTAATGTGCCGATAAAATCAGTATTATAATCACAAGGCGTGAAAAGAGTGTTTTTTTCTCTATAATAAGATTCCCTTTTCATTCTTTGTTGCATTTTTGTACTAATATTAAAAATAGAATACATCATATTTTCAATGTATATAATAAAATATAAAAAATAAAAGAAAGAAATGTATCTTATACAGGGTGTCTCAAAATTCACAATACTCTGGCAAGAAAGTTCTCGGAAAATTAAGTAAAAAAATTATTTGTAAATTTTTATTTTAAGCAGTAATTTTTGAGATAATAAGGGTTTAAATACAGCCAATTACAGACTACATTTTAAACAACCACCTATCCATAACATGCAAGTATTAATGACTTTTGGTGAATGCTCACTTCAGCGTGCACTAATACTTACAGGTGATTATTTAAACTTATAATTGGCCATATTTCAATCATTAAATCTAAAAAAATATTACTTAAAATAAAAATTTACAAATAACTTTTTTACTTAATTTTTCGAAAACTTTCTTGTTATAGTATTTTGAGTCGCGATTCCTGGGACACCCTGAAAAAAAAAATATGTGCATGATATATATATATATGTATATATACATCCATAAATACTCTGTAGAAAAGAATTTTTTTCTAAAAAAAATAAAAAAAAAATTTTCTATAAAAAAAGAAATATAATTTTTTTATATAACGTTAGTAGTTTGATTATCTTTATATATCTCAATAGCATTTTCCGGAACTTAATTTCTTAATCAGTATATCAGATAGAAAATTATGGATATTGCATAATTACGGTACATATTATGCACACTTGTGTAATTATGCTAGATGTCTTGCGTTACCTACCATAAAAGTATAACCGTTACTTTCCATAAAAGTATGGAAAAAAATCTTCACGGCGCTTCACATTTGTATTTCCGGTCTGTAAATTTATGATCGTTCTCCATTCATGGTGGTATCGACGGCTAGGTCAATAACTATCGATCGATAGTCGAGGAAAATGCGGTACATTTATGCGTCTCATTCATGCACGCGCGCGCGCGTCCATGCGATCATGTTCGCACGGTTTTGAATCGCGCACCTCGGCGTCCCGCTTTTCTGACCGTGAGAAAAATAATCCCGACACATATGTGACTCGCTCCGTTTTTTGTAATATTCGATGCGCCGAATATCGTGACACGTGAAAATGAGATAGTACGTCGCGATAACGCCTCGTGAGCGAGTACGCGTATAATTATGATGATTAATCGTAATTACCGCATATCCACGTGGTTCCGTCGATGTGGTCCGTCGTCTCTCTTTTTTGTTTTTTCTTTTTCTTCATCTGGCTCACGGGACGTCCAGATGATGCCGGTTTCGGCTAGTGGGTGGTGAAATCACTGACAGGTGGTCGGCGAACGCACGAAGGGATCGAGAAAAGAGTAGCGGAAGGGATGCGAGAAAATCGTTTTGCGATCCTATTTAAAGGACGACGCGTCTCAACTTTGTTTTTTTACACATGCAGTTTAAATTAGGTTGAATTTGAATTACAATTGCCATGGATTTCGATCGTAAGAAGGTGAATGAAAAAAATTGCGAGAGTTAGCCGTGTTCTGTCTGCAGAAGTGCGGCCTAGAACAGCGGTACGAGAACAATGGAGTATCAAACGGGAATAGGAAAAGATCGCGGAGGTAGGGCCCCGTTGTACCGCGCTACCTGGTCGATTCTGAGAAGCAGGGGCCTGCCGATTTATCTGGTTCGCAATGAAGGATCGATACGAAGCGAAACTGCTCTAGAGCCACAAAAGGCCCGAGAATAGCGGCTTAAGAGACGCAGGATTACCATGTGATATTTTTTCGACGCCGTGCAGCCGCAGGTAGCGTAATTAGAAGTTATATTATTTCAATGAAAAATTGCACGATGAAAGTTTCAACATCGAAATTGTAGCTGGTCATTATTTTCTTAAATGAAGCGTATCAATTATGTAGCTTGTCATATCAATTTAGTGAGAATTATTTCGAGAAAACTACTTTGGAAACGAAATCTTTTGAATCATGCAGATTTTTTTCTCCGTCATTCCAAATGTTTTAAATGCCTGCAAAAATTGTTTTAATATGACAGCCTCGCAATGTCTTTCAGATAACATAGGCGCAGCTGACCAACCTTGGAGAAGAATATAATTAGAAAAAGAAAATAATAAGATAC